GCTGGTCTCGAACTCCTGACCTTGTTATTTGTCCACCTCGGCCTTGGAAACTTCTGGAATTACAGGCATGAGTCACCACGCTTGGCCTTTATAGTATATTTACACGAATCTAGTAAGTGGGATAATTTGTTATTTTTATTTCTTTCAGCTGTGTGTTCTCATTTCACCCAAGACCTTTGGACAGTGCAGGGCATAGAAGATTCATTCCACAAACTTATACAAAAAGGTCATGAGAAACGTGGACATGAGAATTTAAAATTAAGAAAAACTTGTAGAAGTGTGAATGAGTGTAAGGTGCAGAAAGGTGGTTATAAAATGGAATTAACCAATGCTTATTAACTACCCGGAGCAAAATAATTCAATGTAATATATGTGTTGAAGTTTTTCATAAATTTTCAAATTCAAACAAACATAAGATAAACTGGAGAGAAAACCTTTAAATGTAAAGAATGTGGCAAATCATTTCACGTGCTCTGACACCTAACTCAACACAAAAGAATTCATACTGGAGAGAACTCCCACACATATGAAGAATGTGGCAAAGCCTTTAATCGGTCCTCAATTCTTACTAAACATAAGCGAATTCATGCCAGAGAGAAACCCTACAAGTGTGAGGAATGTGGTAAAGGCTTTACTCGGTCCTCACACCTTACTAAACACAAGAGAATTCATACTGGAGAGAAACCATACATATGTGAAGAATGTGGTAAAGCTTTTAACCAATCCTCAACCCTTAATTTACATAAGAGAATTCATTCTGGACAAAAATGTTACAAATGTGAAGAATGTGGTAAAGCCTTTAAGTGGTCCTCATCCCTTAATGAACATAAGAGAATTCATGCTGGAGAGAAATCCTTCTCATGCGAAGAATGTGGCAATGTCTTTACTACATCCTCAGACTTTGCTAAACATAAGAGAATTTGTACAGGAGAGAAACCCCACAAATGTGAAGAATGTGGCAAATCCTTTAATAGGTCCACAACCCTTACGACACATAAGAGAATCCATACTGGAGAGAAACCCTACACGTGGAGAATGTGGTAAAGCCTTTAATTGGTCCTCAACCCTTAATGTACACAAGAGAATTCACTCTGGAAAAAATCCCTACAAATGTGAAGATTGTGGCAAAGCCTTTCAAGTGTTTGCAAACCTGCGTAATAATAAAAAAATTCATACTGGAGAGAAACCCTACGTATGTACACAATGTGGCAAAGCCTTTAAATAGTCCTCACACCTGAATAAACATAAGAAAATTCGCACTGTAGATAAACCCTACAAATGTAAAGAATGTGGGAGTACTTTTAAGCAGTATTCCAACCTTCCTCAACATAAGAGAACTCATACTGGAGGAAAATTTTAGAAATGTAAAGCATGTGGGAGCTTTTAAGTCTTCCTCAATCTTTTATAATCATAATTCATACTGGAGAGAAACTCTACATATGTGAAAAATTTGGCAAAGCTTTTAACCACAACTCAATCTGTTGTAAACATAAGAGAAATGGTATTGGTGAGAAGCCATAAAAATATGAAAAGTGTAGAAAAGCCTTCAAATGCTTGTCACATCTTACTATTTATAATTCCTATAGAAGAAAACCCCTAGGAATATTAAAAGTGTTGGCAAAACTTTTAACCAATGCTCATATCTCTTAGCACATGATAGCATTTATGCTTGAGAAAAATTGTACAAATATGGAAAATGTAGAAGAGCCACTAATGCCTACTCCCATGTTGCTAAATATCAGAGAGTGTGTACTTAGTAAAAGCATTATAAATGTAATGTTTGTTGAAAGACCTATTAGAAAATACAGGTCTTAAAAGTGAAGAAGAGTATTCTGAAGACGGACAATACAAATAGTAAGATGGTTGTTGTACCTATACTTGCATCATGGGTCTTATTGTGCATATTTCGTACTAGAAGAAAACCCTGAAGCACTTGCCCAAAATTTCTTCAACATTGGAGAATTTATATTGGAAAGAAATTTTACAAATATAATAAATTTGGAAAAGCATTGGTTCAAAAACTGTAGCTTAAAAAATACCAGAGGGTTTATACTAGAAGATATTTTGTAGATGCGTTAAATATGAAAAGATATTCAGTCTAAAATTAAGACTAAATGTCAGAATATTTACAGTAGAAAGAAGAAGGCATTAACACTTGAAACATTACAGTAAATCAGAGTGTTAAGTATAAAAAAATTCCAAAGCTGAAACTGTTAGATAATTTCTTTGTATATAAGTTGAAAAGGAGTAGATTTTTGAAGTTATTCCATTGAAATTATACTTTTTTACTTGAAAAAGTTATAGATTTTTTGAAAAGCAAATTCAACTCTAAAATTTATTCATACTGATTCAACTTATTGTTTATATGAAAGCGTGTGATGAGTTGTTGCATCAGAGGTATGAGTGATTCTTTTTAGGTGGGCATCATTCATGAACTTTTCCATGAATGAGTAAGGACATTGAAAGATGCATGAGATGATGTTTGCATCTTTGTGGTTGACTTATATCATTGCGTGATTCGTGAGGTACATGTTCAAAGTAATATTCTTCCGCATTATAGTGAGAGAAAAACAATCTGAATTTTAGTAATAAATTGTTTTACCAATTGTACATTTAGGTAATAAAATACAGTAAATTTTTAAATTATCTTTTAAGATTGTGTGTGAACTTAATTTTTTAATTCAACAAAATTGCTAATGTGTTGAAATTACTGTGTCTGGAATGAAGTGTTATTATGCCACAACTTTTACCTATCCCACCTTACTCAAGGGTATAGGTAAAAAATGGTAACAGTATACTTTTAGTAACATAGTTTAATGACATTTCTAGCAATCTCTTTTTCCAGTGGCTTTAAACAGCAAATAAATTGAAGAATATTGTTCTCATGTTAAATTTTTATTATTTTTCTTATTTAAATTTATTTTTAAAAATTTATGTGGGTACATGGTATGTGTATATATTCATGGCATATATGGGTTACTTGGTTACTTTGATACAGGCATACAACATGTAATCACATCAGTGTAAATGAGTTATTCATCACCTCAAGCATTTATCCTTTGTATTACAAACAATCCAATTATACACTTTATTTTTAAATGTACAATTAAATTATTTTTTATTACAAGTAATTTTATGGTTGTATTCAGTATTATATCAGAATATAATGTAGACATTTCTGTGTCCTGAATACATATTTTTTTAAATGTTCCATATTTTTCTTTGGACATGTGGCTTCTCTTCTGGCAAACACATACAGACTTTTAGTTTTGATTTACATGGAGATAAATGTATAAATGTATTGCTCTAAGATAAACCTTAGGTATAAAAAATTATAGAACAAGCAATTGTGTTTGGAAATTTGTACCTATTTTCCAAAGAAAATAGCAACGTTGGGACAAAAAATATTCTTTTAATAATATGTATAACTGATTAGAAACATAAAAACCTAAAATATTCTGGAAACAAATCTATACTATCTTCTTTGTATTTAATTAATTACTGTAAAATCTAATGGATCATTGTTGAGAATCTCCTTGTGCAAATTACCTGTTTTGTCTGGTACTCATGCTAGTGATACAATTCACTTGTTTCTCATAGTTTTTTGTTTTAACTTCATTAAGTATTTATTGTGTGAGCTGGTCAGAAATTGTAAGAATGATTTTTATAAAATTTAGTAGAGCACACAAAATAAATTTAAGATGTTCACAATGTGTGTATTAAGTAATATTTAGTTAGAACATTTTGTTTCATTGGGGAACCATATATAAGCTGTTTAGTTATTGTTCCTTTCACTTTTTATAATTGACATAATTGAGTTTATTGGGCCAATTCAAGTAAGTACTGGGGACACTTTATAAGTTATGAGGATGTTTTGATACATAATTGCAGTGAACAAACATAAGAAAGTGAAGGGTGTGTAATAGATGCTCCATAATTAGGTACAAATATTTTTCTGGAGTTTATTTGTAGGTCCAAGTAAGAGATTGAAAATATCTGTGGTGAAGAAATGGTATTAATTCTGCATGTTAAGAGGACATTTGTTCCCAGGCTGTAAAAGTGACTCATTCTGAATTTAAATAAGATTTCGGTGTTTATATTCTAATTATCTTCAGTTTTGTTTTGTTTTTTTTTTTTTTTTGATGTCTTTATGTGTTCATCCTCAGCTGTGTGTACCTCACAGCCCTTCTCCTGATTTGTGTTATGGCTACAGTTTTTTCACTCTTCTCTTCATGCCATGTAATTTCACATGGATTTTCTAGGTTCTCATGAAAAGTTTGGATTTTTTTTAATGTGGTAAATTATTGTTTTTAAGTGGGGTGTTTGTATAGTTTATCAATGCAACATTTATATTACTTAAGAGTCATTTACTGTTCACATGTAAAAGGATTCAGTCAGTCAGCATTGTTTTTCTCTGTAAAAGAAAAATTTTATGAGATTCTAAACAAAGTGTGTTAAATGAAACATAAGCTATAGTAGGTAAAGCATTAATATGGGTGGATTGCATATTATAACTACCATATGAAGAAACTCATCCAAATTTTGAAATCTCTTAGAAGAAAATATGTCTTAGAAATAAATTTCTAGGCTGGGCAAAGTGGCTCACGCCTGTAATCCCAGCACTTTGGGAGGCTGAGGCAGATGGATCACCTGAGGTCAGGAGTGCAAGACCAGCCTGACTAACATGGAGAAACCCCGTTTCTACTAAAAATACAAAAATTAGCCAGTTGCGATGGCAGGTGCCTGTAATCCCAGCTACTTGGAAGGCTGAGGCCGGAGAATTGTTTGAACCTGGGAGGTGGAGGTTGCAGTGGACTGAGATGGCAACACTGCACTCCAGCCTGGGTGACAGACCGAGACTCAATCTCAAAAGAAAGAAATTTCTTGGCGACTTAGTGATATGTGAAATATTTTACATTAATTTTCTATGACATAGGAAAACTTATTTTGTTATGCAGAATAGTCTATATTCTACATTTATTATAAAGTATATACTGTACATGGTGACTGTAGTCACCATGTTGTACAATAAATTTTCTGAACTTCTCCTAGTCAACTGTACTTATGTATTATTTTATGGACATCTCTCCAAATGCCTCTTTTTTTCTAAATAACCAAGCATCCAGTAACCAGCATTTGCTGTCTGGCTTATTTCACTTAGCATAATGTCCTCCAAATTTATCCATATTGTTTCAAATGACAAGATTTTTTCTCTTTTATTGCTGAATAGTATTTCATTGTAACACATTTTTAAAAATTTAAATAAGTAGTCATTTATTGCTTGAAAAACTCATGTAATGAAAATACATTTGCGTTAAAGCATGTATTAATGTAATTCAGCGTGTAAAATTTTATTAATCATAGCTAATTTGTACCAAACACTAACCAAAACTCTATGTGTGTTAAGGAAGGTAAATTCTCAGTGGTGGAATTGTAGGTTATTTTAATTTGCTTTATTGAATAGTTTTTTACTTCCTAATTTTTGGCATTGTGTCTTTTAATTAAAATAAAACATCATATATGTTTTAACCTTGCCTTTATTTGTATATACATGTTAAAAGAAGTAAGAAAGAAAGAACAAAAGAAAGGGAGAAAAAAAGAAACAAAAAGTAAGAATTTAAAAAATGAAAGACAGGAAGAAAGGAAGCAGAGAAAAAAATAAAATTTTAAAAGTGCTATAAATTAGAGCCAAGAAAGCATCTGGATAGTGTAATCACTGTTTTGCTATACAAGGCCCAAGCCAGCAGGGCCTCCTGGGAAAGACAGAGATACTGGAGACTGCAAATCATTCCTAAACATTTTCCATTTTTATCGCTTTTCATTCATTGTGTAAGTTACTACACTTTTTTTGTCAGCTGAAACTAATTCTGGTTGTCTAACAATATTTCACTTTATTATAATCCAGATTCAAAGAATAAAAATGAAAGTGTTTTCTAGGCTGGTTGTTTCTTTGTAAATTAGGCAGAATGATCAGTCTAGACAAGAATCATTTATTAGCATTCTGAACAGGGATCCTGGCCAAGAGAAGGAATTCTCCAGAAAGGAACCAGGGATCTCAGTATAAGAAAAACTCTTGGTCGGTTGCAGTGACAATCACAAGCAATTTCACTCTGACCAGATGAGACTCTGGCTGGCAGTGTGGAAAAAGAGCCCAACTTTGGGGGAATCAAACCAGGACCTTCCAGATATTCATTCATTTACCAAGAAAGCATTACTGATGTAAAATTATGTGCATCACCCTGTGTTTAGGGCAATGAAAGTTAAATAAAAACGCATAATGCATATCCACCCTTCTGGAAACACAATGGGTGCCTCTGAAGGCCTGCATTTGGTGTTGCCATTCTGGGGAATGTGGTGATATTATTGTGGTTTTAGTAGCATTTCCTAACGAGTAATAATATTGAAACATTTTACATGCCACTTAGAATTTGTCTATTCAAACGCTTTATTCGCGTTGCATTGGTAAATTATTGTATTATTATTAAATCATAAGAATTCTGTTAATATATTTATTCCTAGACCCAAATCAGTTTTAAAACTTAAAATATGTTTTGCCATTAGGTAGTTTGTCTTTTGTATTCATTATGCTTCTGTTCAAAAAGCCAATGTTTTTCTCTTTCATGAAGTAATATTCTTTATTTTTCTCTCGTTTTGAGACAGGGTCTCTGCACCCAGTCTGGAGTGCAGTGGCACAATTGTGGCTCACTGCAGCCTCAATCTCCTCTCCTGAGGAGCTGGGACTACAGGCCTGTGCCTCAATGCCCAGCTTTATTTTTTTTTTCCTTAATTTTTCACAGACATGAAGTCTCACTATGTTGCCCAGGCTGGTCTCGAACTCCTGGGATCAGGTAATTCTCCCACCTCAGCCTCTCCAAGAGCTAGGATTACAGGCATAAGCCATTGATCCTGGCCTAAGTTTTTCTTATTCTGGATTTTGCTTTTGTGTAATTTTGTGTAATATCTAAGATATTTTTTCCTAACCCAACATTATAAAAATTTACTCTAATTTTTGTCCAGTGAATATGATAATTTTA